GAGACCAAAACAGTTTCTTGTGATCCTCTGTTTCATCTCCTCTCAGATAGGCCCATAAATATCTCTCTTTCACCTTCTCAGGTGACTATGTGTCATGAGGATACAATGCTATAGTGTTTGGTTTTGCAAATGACTCCTGAATTCCACAGAGAACTTAACTTGGAAACATTCACTTAGAATTGTGAACACAGACTGCCAACAGAAACTTCCCTGGTTCAACCATTCTAGCTGTTTTTTTTTTTTTTTCCTGGTAGCTAGTACTGCGCTGAAAATTCTTTTTTGTGCATGACAGGAAGAGGACATTAAGGAGAATAAATTATGTTAAACAAATAAACATCATCTGGTCTAGCTTCACTCTCTGGAGAAGCTTCCACACTTCACTAACCTGAGGACAGGCTAGAAACAGAGCATAGAGCACTGCTGTGCTCCACTCACTGCTTCTAACTTCACCATTCTTCACTGCTCTTCTGGCAAACCTGTGAATTAGAGCTTGGAGAAGCAAGTGTCCACATACATAGGTATAAATATATAAATACATATCTATGTATGTATTTGTATTTATATGCATGTGTGTATGCATATGCATGTGATAATTCTAGAGTATAATGGTTTGGAAAAAACGTACTTAGATATGCCTGAATTAGCAGTTTTTTTATCTTTCTCAATGTACCCCACAGAAGTACTGAATAGTAGTATACCCGCATCAGGTGACTAAACGGTCAACTAACAGGTCAGATAGGAACCCTGTCGGGACCACGTAGCATGAGGCAACATTGCAAAAGCATCAATGCATGTCAAAACCTAATTCTCTGTCATAGCACTTTTCATTACCAGAAACCTCATAAATTGGTAAACTAATTAAGTTAATTATCAGGATGCTGGGTTACAATAAATCCCTTGAGATTCCTTGGTGTGTAAGTGTACCATGGAGAATTTCCCATCTCCCACAGCGCTAATGAACTCAGAGGTTTGTTATGGAAGTTTTGCCCCAAATGAAGAGATTAGTTCTGGCACTGTGTCCTAAATGGGATAGAGCTGCTCTGAGGCTCAACCAAGCTGCGAATGTGTCCTGTCAGCCATTTCCAGAATTAAATGCAGTGGACACTGTGGAAATTAAACCAAGCAACAACAGCAAACAAAATTCTTCCCTTCCTGGAGTTACTTTTGATATGCTTCTGTATATCCCTCAAACACTTTACCAAGGTCACTGTGGTTAATACCAAATCGCGAGTAGGATCCGTTTATAGCAGCAGTAGCATGCATCAAGGCAACAGGGAGAAAATATGAAACTCTCGGATCACTTGTCAATTGTGAAACTAACTAACTAACTAAATATCAAAGTATATTTTCATTGCAATGTAGTTGTCGTTACACTTCATGCACTGAAGATCCAAAGAAATTGGCAGAGCAGTATTTCTCTGATATTTCCTCTCTCCATTACATTGTGAATCCAAAGAAACACATGACCTGTCCTGAATGAGCATGACAACTATTAATTCCCAAAGAAAAACATGACCTGTCCTGAATGAGCATGACAACTATTATTTCCCAAAGAAATATCAAGAGAAACATTTCAAAAAGTCAGGTGCACAGGCAGCTTTGGGTCACAAAAACAGCACTAACACGTCCAATAACCCAAATCAAAATTGAGCTGGGCAACATTACAGTGGTAATCTGTACATACAGGTGGACTATTTTTGAACTAGGTATAAAATGCATTGAGAAGCAGCAGACCTTTCTGGGGAGCAGAAAAATGCATCTCCTATTGCTTCCACAATATTTATGGATTTATTTAAGAGCTTGTATACAACAATAAAGACAAAATCAAGTGACATTGAGATTTCCAGTTTGTTTTCAAAGACTATTTATACATTTAGTTGAAATTCTTTCTCCTAAACCTATGTATGTTTTTTGTTGGTTTGTTTTGTATAGACATGTATGTAGATGTGGCATGTGTAAAATATGTAGATATTTTTCTTTTTACTGAATTATGAAAGATGCCATCTGTTTACTGAGCCACCTGCCTAGTTCCCAATTGCAGTTTTCTCTCTCAGTTTCTTTCATACTGACTCTCTTACATACCCTGGGAAATGTGATCATGCTAACAAGACCAAATACCCGTATGATGACCGCTCCCAGCTTTTCAGCTGGGTTTGACTACTGTGATTCCAAAGTATGTTAATCTGAAACCTGTATTTGATTATAGAACACAGAATTAGTACCAGAATCCTCCATTAATAGCTGTGTCAAGATTCAAGGTGAAATCTTTGGAATGGAAATAAATCTGCCAAGGGATTTTACTGTTGTCATTCCAATCTTTAGAGTAATTTACTGTTTAAGGGATAAAGCATCTAATTATACTACTATTGTTTTTCATGTTGGCTCATGTAGTTGACTAACCCTGTAATGTTATGCTGACAACTCCATGGGCTACTTTTTCTCTGGAGTAAGAGACATGATGGAGTGAAAGAAACGCTGAGAAATTGGAGTTTGGAAATCCTGTTTCCAGTCTTTCAGGGCTTTTACCAATAGAAAAGTTACTGAGATGTTATAAATTGTAACACCAGTTCTTTTCTCAGATCAACATATAATTTGTCTAGAAAAAAACAGATAGGCCACTCTTTTAAGTCTTGTGAAGTAACGAAATGATATATGTAAAATGATATATTTCATAATGTTAGCTATGTTAACCAAATCTTTTATTTAAGTAAAATTTGAAAATGTCTTTAGTCATTTACTGAAACAATTAGCCCAATCTAGACAGTCTCTGTTTCACCTATCCACTCCTCATACATTTAAAACACTTAAAATAGAGCCAGTTATATTTGACTCGGCTATGAGATTGATTGTTGGGGGGAGGGCTATATTTGTTAGGTTAGCTAGGAGTCATCATGTGCATATAAGAGGAAGTAGAGATTGTAAGCCTCGGGTTAGGATGAGGAAGTGGCTGTGTGTACGTTCGTAGTTTGTATTTGCCAGACATAATAATATGGAGGAGGTGAGGCCGTGGGAAATTATAAGAGTCATGGCTCCTGAGAAGGATCATTCAGTTTGGATTATGCAGGCTGCAATTGTCAGTCCTATGTGTCTGATAGATGAGTATGAAATTAGTGATTTTAGGTCAGTTTGGCGTAAGCAGATGGAGCTAGTTATTAATGCACCTCATAGGGCAAGAGTGAGGAATGGGTAGGAGAGGTAGCTAGTTAGTGGGCCTGTAATTATGGTAATTCGTATGATGCCATAGCCTCCTAGTTTTAGGAGAAGGGCAGCAAGAAGCATAGATCCTGCAATGTGTGCTTCTGCATGGGCTTTTGGCAGTCATAGGTGGAGTCCATATAATGAGGCTTTTACTATGAATGCCATTAGGAGTGCTAGGCCTGATAGAATGTTAGTTCATGATGGTGTTAGTAGGGGGTGTAGGAGTTTTATAGGAGGTGTGTGAAGCGTGCCTCTCTGTATGTGGAGGTGTAATAGGACGATTAGTAGGGGGAAGGAGCTGATTAGGGTGTAGAATAAGAGGTAAATGCCAGCGCTAAGACGTTCTGGTTGGTTTCCTCATTGTGTGATTAGGATTAGTGCTGGAATTCAGGTTGCTACAAAAGAGATGTAGAATAGGGATAGTTCTGTGGATGAGAAGGCTAGGAGAATGAAGGGTTGGATTGTAATAAGGGTAGTAATAAAGGTGTATTTTCGTGTTATTGGTTCGGAGCGGAGGTGGTTTTGACTGGTGATAAATATGAGGGGGAGAAGTCAGCAAGAAAGTACTAGGAACGGGGCTGAGATTTGATCAATGCCTGATCATTGGTTTGAGAATTTGTAGGGGAAGTATGTTGGGTGTAATCATTGTAAGCTGAGGGATGCGATTAGTAAACTGTGGGTTGTTGCGTTTGTCCAGATAAGGTTTTTGGGGGATAGTAGGACTGTTGGGATGAGTATGATAGTAAGGGTTATAATTTTTAACATTGTAGCACGTTCAGGTTGTGGAGGCGGTCTGAGCCGTGGGTTCGGGTGGATGCTACCAATATGGTGAGTCCTATACCAGCTTCCCAGGCGGAAAAGGTCAGTATGAGTATGGGGATAAGGGTGAATGATGGGGTTTGGGTAGGGATTGGTCAGATCGAGAAGACGATGTATAATGAAAGTATCATGCTTTCTAGGCAGAGTAGGGCTGAAATAAAGTGGGTTCGATGGAAGGCTAGTCCTAGGCAACTTAGGATGAAGACAGAGTAGAAGCTAGGATGTACTAACATAAGAAAGTTACAGTGATTGCTGTAATCTGCCAAGCCGAAGTCGGCTGTCTTGTATTAGACTAACTTTCTATTATTCGGCTCATTCAAGTCCTCCTTGGACTCATTCGTAGACTAATCCTAGTGTTAGTAGGAGTAAGATTAAGGGGGTCCATAGTATTGTGAGTAGTGGGTGAGGAAGTTGGATTGCCCATGGGAGAGGAAGTAAGAGGGCGATTTCTAGGTCGAATAGTAGGAATAGGATAGCTACTGAGGAAAAATCAGATTGAGAATGGTAGTCGAGCTGACCCTAGGGGGTCGAAGCCACATTCATATGCAGAGAGTTTTTCTGTGTCTGGGTTTGTTTGGGCTAATCATAGGTTGATGGTTGTTAGAAGAGTGCAGAGGATTAGAGATAGTAGGAGTATAAATGTAATTATGTTTATTACTCTTCTCTAGGGCGCAACTAGATTTTAGAGATTGGAAGTCAATTGTAATAATTATACTAGAAGAGCAGGATCGTCATCAGTAGATGGTAATATAGAGGAATAGTCAGATTACATCAACGAAGTGTCAGTATCAGGCAGCTCCTTCAAAGCCAGAGTGGTGATTAGATGTAAAGTGAAATTTAATGAGACGGAATAGGCATACGGTTAGGAAGGTAGATCCAATAATTACATGTAATCCGTGGAATCCAGTTGCTACAAAGAATGTGGAGCCATAAATTCCATCAACAATGGAGAATGGGGCTTCATGGTATTCTATAGTTTGTAGTAGGGTAAGGTAAAATCCAAGGAGGATAGTTAATAGTAGGACTTGAATAGCTTGTTTTCGGTTGCATTCGGTAATGCTGTGATGGGCTCAGGTTACAGTGACTTCAGATGCCAGGAGGATGGCAGTATTGAGTAGTGGAACTTCTATGGGGTTTAGTGGGGTAATTCCGATAGGAGGTCATAAGCCTCCAAGTTCAGGTGTGGGTGCTAGGCAGTTTAGGTGTAGAGAGGTCAGAAGATAGTTTAATGGAGAATACCAGCTTTGGGAGCTGGAGGTGGAGGTTTGAGTCCTCTTTTTCTGAGATGTTGAGGCTGGTAGGTTGTAGTAGGGTAAGTAGAGGAGATTGGCTGGGCAGTGTTGATGAAAATGGGTTAAATTTTTTTTTTCAAAAAAATTCAAAATAATGAAAAGATTGCTTTTTCTATATTTTAAGACAGTTTTAACTACATAGATCACATATGAAGAAAAACTGCAAGATTTTCCAAGCTGTCTAACATTTGTACTGAACAAGACAGAACAAAACAAGACAAAAAAAAACAGTAAAGAGCCGACTGTGTCAGACCTGGCCAAGTAACTGCTTGACGGGTAACCCAGCACACACAAACTCCATCACTGTCTTTGGAGCCTTGGAGCCTTTTCCAGACAGAAAACTATGCCTTGACAAGCTGTTGTAAGTTTTTCTATTCTATTTGTACAATCCAACCTTCAGTGCTATCCTCATGCTCTGCAACACTACTTATCTACTGTCTGGCAGGTTTCCTCCTCAGCCCGTCTAACCACCCATGCATCACCCATCTCAGATTTCTCTTCAAGTCTTCAGGGGATTTTCTTGCCCTCAAAATACTTTATTTTCCCAAGTGCTAGTCCATTCTGATCAATCCTAACCTGTTTTACTCACTGAGCTTCCTCTTCACTGAAAAGATTATTGCCTGGCATTAACTGCTTGTCTGTCCCTCATTTTTGTCTGCCTTGCCTATTTAGATTTTAAATTTTTCCAGGCACTGATTATGTATTTACATGGCGCGTATAACCATGGGACTGGCACTGACTGATGTCTCCAGAAATTATGTAATGTGAGTGAATTAATAGTTATAAACATAATCTAAAAAGAATACTCACATATAAACAGAATTGTTACTAGACAGTAAGGATAAACAGTGTATGATTCCATTGGTTATCTCAATTCTTGTAAAAAATAGTTGCATTTATTTATTTATTTATTTAGTTAGTTCTATTAGCTTTTGCTCATTGGAGATCTGTAACAGATTAATTTTTCCTTTCTCTCTCTCTGAAGGATAAATCTGTCTTCCCATCTTCAGACATGCCCAGTACTTCACAGAATAGTATTTTTAAAAGTGTTTGTGTAACACTCCAGCTAATTTTCAGTCTTGCAAAATTATCTGAAAAGCTTTTGGCAAAACATTTTCAAAAGGGTTTTAGTCATCATTTCAAATTTGAAGAGGTTGTCTTTTATAAAAAATTGAAATTGAATTTATATTTGGATATATATTTGTCCCATTGGTTTGACTCACATATTGAACTTTCTTTTGGGAGTATCTTTATTTTGAATCTAAAATCAACATCCAACCCCAAATTTGAAGCAGCAGTGCTCTATAGAGCAGTTATATTCCCAAGATATGCATATCTGTCTGAATGATTCAGACTTACAGCCTTATGGCAGAGCCATATGCACAGTTTCATATGAACTTTAAAAGTTTTGCCATATATGTATGAAGTGTGACTTAACAATACTTTACACTATTATTCTTACAAAACAGCAATGCATAGCATGTCTGCACTAAAATTAAGTGAATTCATCATGTTCAGTGACAATACAATGAATATATCGATTTTTTTTACTTAAGAAGAAATCACTATTAATATCTTTGGTGATATTATTCATGATACAGCCTTTAGATGTTAATATAAAATAGTTCGTTATATATCACTGTACTGATTAATTTCATAATTACACTGTTTCATTATATTCATGTAAGATAGGCATGTAAATATTATGTATAAAATATGTGTGTGAGCATAGGTATGTCATTGATATATATTTTAGTATACATCTATATCTATTCTTCCTTTCTCAAGGCCAAACAACTATTCGGTCTCTTAAGATCCTCGTTACCATTCATATGCCTGCTTTATACTTTTTTTCTTTAGAAAGATAATTAAAAGATATTCCGCTCCATATAAAATGTTCTCTTGCTGTTTTCACACATCATCAGACATCAAGCAAGTCCTGATCTTCCCCATCTAAATGAATCATTAGCACTTCAAATAATTCTTGCTCAAAGTACCATACAGTATATACCCTTCATGGTATATGCTCCAAGACTGTTTGTAAAATACATTTTAAAAAGTTGCACTGACATTAACCACTTGCTTACATGAAGGAAAATATTTTTGATGAGGAATTCTATACAACATTCACCATACCCTTTTTGGCTAATTAACTCACTAAATGCTGCATAAAAATAGTTATTTCTTCACATAGTGTATTGTTTGTTATGTATTTTTTTATCATTTGTCAGTCCTTTTGCAACAAATGAAAGCTCATATTATCACTTTCACCAGTATCAGAAATCAAATAACTTCCCATTAAAATATTACACAGTTTTTACTTCATTAAGCTTTCCTCAAAATACTTCTAGAAATAGAAAAAAAAAAGTAAAAACAAAAATCAACTAATCAAACAAACAGAAACGCTGTAGCATATCAAGTCTTTGAAATTCTTATTTTAAATAAGTCTTATGGTTTTACCCTGGAGCTTGCACCATTTTCTCACTAAGTAAATTCCGTAAGAGCCCTGCAGAAGTCTGTGATTGCCTGAAGAGCAAAAATTTCAGTTGTATACTGCTGTTATAGGAATGTCATGAAGACTTTGGTAGATAGATCACAGCATATCTGGTTATTCTACTTTTCTATCTATTCATACTTGCCTGTGAGCAAAATATTCTTTGCTTCTGCTAGTTGAACTGGAAAACAAAAACAGGAAAATACTAAAAAATTCTACAGAAAAAGAAATTCAGCTTCTCCCCTTTGGCCAGTGGCAGTCAATGTTGGCATCTGCCTTCTTTTCCCAGGGCTTATCCCTTTAACCTGCAGATATTTTTTAAAAGCCGGACTTACAGCAATTTTTTGCTCTGTGCATATACTCCTGCTCTAGCATTATTCATGATTCCCAGAAATAACATATTCAGAAGGGTATGTCCCCTGGAGATGCTCTACTGAGTTCTGCGTATCTGTAGCTGTGTTGCCTAAGACTCCTGTTGGTTTGGGAAATACCACTGCATTGGTTTCTCTCCCACTGCCTTTTTAGGCTTCTCCTTGTGACTGTATGGGCTGGATTTTGGTACAAATACATGATTCCTGGAGGACAGGTTACAGAAACGAGTCCATGGTCTGCACACGCAGTCTTCTCCTAACTGCTCTAACAAGTAATAAGAGTTCTGTCTAGAGTTGGAAATTTCCAAGAACAAGACAAATAGTAAAATCATGCTTCCACAGATAAATTAACAAGAGGGAAGACAAGGAAATTCTCTACTCTTTATTGGATGCAGCAGAGAACATTTTCACCAAAGATGAGGATAAGGCTGAGGTACCTAATGCCTTCTATAACAACCAGATCAGTTATCCTCAAGGTACCTGACCCCCGGACCTGGAAGACAACTATGGAGAAGAAGGAACACCTCCATAATTCAGGAGGAAACAGTGACCTGCTACTCCACTTGGATATTCACAAAGCCATGGGGCCAGATGGGATCCACCCAAGGGTTCTGAGGGAGCTGGTGGAAGTGCTCGTCAAGCCGCTCTCCATCATCAGCAGTCCTGGTCAACAACGGACTGGACACTTGCCAGTGTGATGCTCATCTACAAGAAAGGTCAGATGGAAGATTGAGGGAACTGCGGGCCTGTCAGTCTGACCTCGGTATCAGGGATGGTTATGGAGCAGATTGCCTTGAGGGTGATCACACATCATGTGCGTGACAACCGGGAATCAGGCCTAGCCAACACGGGCTCCTGAAAAGCAGGTCCTACCTCATGACCTGATCGCCTTCTATGACCCACATAGTTGGTGAGTGAAAAGCTGTGGTTGTGGTTTACTTAGACTTCAATAAGGCCTTTGACACAATCTCCCACTGCATTCTCTGGAGAAGCTGGCAGCTCATGGCTTAGACGGGTGCACTCTTCGCTTCATGAGAAACTGGTGAGATGGCCAGTTGGTGGGGAATGGAGTTAAATCTAGCAGGCAACCATCCAGGGTGGTGTTCCCCAGGGCTCAGTGTTGGGACCAGGGTCCTCTTTAATACCTGTACTGATGATCTGGATGAGGGGATTGAGTGCACCCTCAGCAAGTCTGCAGACGACACCAAGCTGGGAGAAAGAGTTGATCTGCTTGAAGGTAGAAAAGCTCTGCAGAGGGACCTGGACTGGCTGGATCAATGGCCTGAGGCCAACCGTATGAGGTTCAACAAGGTCAGGTACTGGGTCCTGCACTTCAGTCACAACAACCGCATGCAGGCTTGGGGCAGAGTGGCTAGAGAGCTGCACATCAGAAAAGGATCTGATGGTATTGGTCGACAGCCGACTGAACATAAGGCACGGTGTGCCCAGGTGACTAAGAAGGCCAACGGCCTCCTGGCTTGTATCAGGAACAGTGCACCTAGCAGGACCAGGCTGATGATCGCCCCCCTGTACTCAGCCCTGGTGAGGCCACCACTTGGATTCTGTGTTCACTCACAACAAGAAAGATATGGAGGTGCTGGAGTGTGTCCAGAGAAGTGCAACAAAGCTGGTGAAAGGGCTGAAGAACAGACCTTATGAGGAGCAGCTGACGGAGTTGGGGTTATTTAGTCTTGAGAAGAGAAGGTTCAGAGGATACCTTATTGCTCTCTATAACTACCTGAAAGGATGTTGTAGTGAGTCAGGGATCAATCTCTTCTCCAGAATAATTACCAGAAGGACAAGAGGAAATGGCCTCAAGTCGCACCAGGAAAGATTCAGGTTAGATATTAGGAAAAAATTCTACATGGAAAGAATGAGGAAGCATTGGAACAGGCTGCCCAGTGGTGACTCCCTGTTTGAGTCACCGTCTCTGTCAGTATTCAAGAAATGTGTAGATGAGGGACTTCTTAGGGACATAGTTTAAAAGGCATGGTGTTGAAGGGCTTATAGTTGGGCTCGATGATCTTGAAGGCCTTTTCCAACCATAATGATTCTGTGATTCTAAGATTATGAACCACATAAAATTAAGTGTACCAGAAAGCCATCAAAGAAACAGGGACGATGCAAACTGCAAGCAGTGCTACT